GTTCTCGACAAGATACCGAAAGAAGATCGAGACGAAGGTTCTTCTAAGAAAGGATTTTACTTGGAAGAAGCGACAAGCGTCAAGAAGGCACTGGGTATCAAATGGAACCTGGAGCAGGATACCTTCAGCTTCTGTGTCAGGGCAAGAGAGATGAAAGTGACCAGAAGAGAGATTCTTTCTGTCATCAGTGGAGTGTTTGACCCTTTGGGCTTTGTGGGGCCGTTCATTCTTACTGGTAAGAAGATCCTGCAGGAGCTGTGCGCCATGAAACTTGGTTGGGATGAAGACGTCCCGGAAAGTCAAGCTCTGATCTGGACCAAGTGGCTAAAGGACCTGCCGAAGCTGGAAACGTTGGAAGTGGCAAGGTGTCTGAAGCCAGCGAGGTTAGGATCGATCGTCTCAAGACAGCTACATCACTTCAGCGACGCGAGCACGGTGGGTTATGGTGTAGTGTCATACCTGCGTCAGACGGATGACAAAGGGCAGGTACACTGTATGATCCTCATGGCGAAGTCGAGGGTCGCGCCGCTCAAGAAGATGACCGTACCTCGAATGGAGCTGGCTGCCGCAACAGTTGCAGTGCGACTACATGCGATGATCACAAAGGAACTTGAGATCCCTATAGACGATGCTACCTTTTGGACGGATAGTTCGACAGTGTTACGGTACATCAACAACGAAGGGACAAGATACAAGACGTATGTCACGAACCGGTTGGCGGTTATCAGGGACGAATCTGCACCAGCGCAATGGAGATTCGTTAAGTCGGAAGATAACCCAGCGGACGACGCCTCGAGAGGGCTTATGGCGGATGATCTTCTAGAGAACAACAGGTGGTTCCATGGTCCAGCTTTCCTGGGGAAAGAAGAGTCTGAGTGGCCTCGTCCGCCTGAAGGATTTGAAGACACACAAGAAGCTACAAGAGATGCTGATGTGATTCAGCCTGCTGTGGTTGGCTCGGTCTGCTTTGCTGAGGACGTACAGCCTAATCCGACAGATCGGCTTCTGTGCCACTATTCAGACTGGTTCAGACTCACAAAGGCAGTGGCATGGTTGCTGCGCTTCAAGAAGTACCTGATGGCGAAGAGAATGACGGCAGGAGCAGTAAGGAAAAGACCGGTCACTCCATCCCAGGCTCGGGATAGGGAAAGGTCTGCTTGTCGGTTGTCAGTGGCCGAACTTGAAGAAGCGGAAAAAGCCATTCTCCGGCGAGTGCAGGAGACTGCGTTTGCATCGGAATTACAAGCGCTGAAGCCTCAGTGTTCTGATGGAGACACCAGGCAAGATCCAGTGGACCGTGTGGTGAAGAGGAGAAGTCCTCTGCGGCAGTTGGATCCCATGCTAGAGGACGGACTATTGAGAGTCGGTGGCCGTTTAGCCATGGCCCCACTGGATTCCAAAGCAAGAAATCCAGTCATACTGCCCGCACGCCACCCTGTCTCAGAGTTGATTGTACGGCATGTTCACCAACAGGTGGGCCATCAAGGAAGAGAACATACATTGGCGGCGCTACGTGAAACTTACTGGCTGATTCACGGCAACTCGGAAGTGCGCCGGGTCCTGAGGAAATGCAAGCATTGCATAAGACGGCAAGCACGACCAGAAGAACAGAAGATGGCAGATCTGCCCCCAGAGAGGGTAACTCCAGATCAGCCGGTTTTCAGCAGTGTCGGTGTTGATCTGTTCGGTCCGTTTGTGACGAAGAGGGGCAGAGCCTCGGTCAAACGGTACGGGGTAATTTTTACTTGCCTAGCCACTCGAGCCATCCATATTGAGTTGGCGGACTCAATGTCAACGGACTCTTTTATTAATGCGTTACGACGATTCACAGCGAGACGAGGGCCAGTCCGGATGATCAGGTGTGACAACGGGACAAATTTTGTCGGAGCCGAAAAGGAACTTCGCAAGGAACTTGAGCACCTAGAACAAGATCGCGTTCACAAGAAATTGCTTGAAAGCAAGATTGACTGGATTTTTAACCCCCCAGGAGCCTCCCATTTCGGTGGGGTTTGGGAGAGGCACATTCGGAGCATCAGGAAGATACTCAATTCCCTCCTGACCAGCCACACCCTTGACGACGACGGCCTCACCACTCTCCTGTGTGAGATCGAGAGTATCTTGAACAGTAGACCACTGACGACGGTGTCAGCAGACCCGAGAGATTGTGAGCCGCTTACACCGAACCACTTGCTGCTTTTTCGCGGAGGTCATGTCACGCCTGGAGTCTTCTCCGAATTTGACCTGCATGGTAAGAGATGGCGCAAAATGCAGTATCTCGCGGACTGTTTCTGGACGAGGTGGAGGCGGGAGTACTTGCCGCTCCTCCAAAGGAAGCAGAAGTGGAACAGTGTCCGAAAAAACCTGGAACCAGGAGATGTGGTCCTGATGATGGACGAGACACTCCCGAGAGGCCAGTGGCCACTTGGAAAAGTTGCTGAAGTAACGAAGGGCCAGAAAGGTCTCGTGAGGCAAGTAGTGGTGAGAAGAGGAACTTCAACGTTCCGTCGACCAGTGTCGAAGCTGGTGAAGCTCGTGAGCGGCGAGGACTGAGCACTACATGGCTGAGGAAGACGAAGTTCATTTTTATTTAAGAGTGCAGTGTTGAATCGGAGATGATTCAAGGAGGAGGGTGTAAACGCCGGAAGCGTTTATTGTCTCCATTTGGTTTTGGTTTATATTCTCCTGTCCTTTCCTGTCCCATTGTGAGCCCATCGGCCCGTCTTGTTGAGCGAGCTGTAGGAAACGGAGAGCCAGTAGAGGGCTCTGCTGTCTGGTTGCAGCCAGAGGTAGGGGGCAGCACGGAGCACGGGTTGAGACGCTGATTGGTACTTTGGTACTTGCAGGGCACTTAACCCTATTAGTGGCAGGCTCCTGGCTACCCCCTATTAGTGGCAGGGGGGGGGGGCTGTTTACGACCCCCCCTTGATATCTCGAGATCTAACCGGCCGATTTTCAAAATTCAAACGGCATTCGATTTCGCTCAACGTGATCTACATTTCTAAAAAATAAAAATTAAAAAATGTCAGTAGGGGGGGGGTAGAGGGGGGTAAAAACGGGCAAATTGCAGATACATTTTAGACTGTTTATCACGGCCAGGTTTCTGAACCAATCTTAACGCAACTTTTGCCGATCGATAGAGAATGAACCAGGAATTCACATGGATCCTAAAAATATGCATTTTCAAAAATCATAGGCGGATACAGATCATTGAGATTGGGGGTACACAAAAAGTATAGTAAATAAGGTTTTTGTTGGTACTGTTTCTAAAAAGGGTGGTAATGGTCTTGTTATGTTATAATTTTCTTATGAGCGAACGACTAAAATTGTATTGGTAATGCATAGGCGGTGTCAGGGCACCTATGTTGGGAGGTAAAACATAACCCCCCTTTTTGGACGCCTGGATCCGCCTATTATAGCAAAAACGTGTCAAAAGAGGATGCACAATAACTGTATATGTTATCACATGATACCTTTTATTCACTGTTCGTAAAACTGGTGCAGCATCGTGATCTTCGCCCAAATGACTCGCTTCACGAATAGGACCCCCCAATTCCCAGTGCTCTGGAGCCGCCCCTGGTAAAGTTATGAACTTGAAATTTTCAGGGAATGTGCCCAATTTAGTTTTAGGAAAAGTCAGAAAATTTCAGCATCGTAGCTTCAGCGGTTTCGGAGATATTCCCGAAAAACCTGAGGGGTGGATAAAAACAACCCCCCCCCCCCCTGCCACTAATAGGGTTAAGAGTTGGTACTTGTGTAACGTCAATGTGGAGGGGAACAAGGAACAAGGCAGTGTATGATGGGAATGTGGAATTGCGTCGTGTCGAATGGTTAGCCAAATACTCATGTTAAAATGCGTTAACCCTCGCCGGCAGAGGGGGGGGGGCGGGTGCCGCCCCCCCCCCCATAGTGTTTTTTCGCGATAGCTCCGAACACGCTGGCGATAGAGAGCTGAAACTTGGCATACCTGACCTTTGATCCAAGCCGGATCTTTTGACACCAACCGCATTTTTAGGTCAGGTCAGGTCACTGACCTATGACGTCATAAGTGAACCTCTGCACGGTCTTCAGATGTCGCAACTTCGCAACGCCCTCACTGCCAGAGGAGATGTCACAGGGAAATGAAACTTGCAGGATCTAGTATCCATTATGAGTCCCACAACTTGTATATCTCGGATTTTTCCTAAAGGTCATATGAGGTCAGGTCATTTTCGTGACCTCACCATTATAAGTCAATGGGGAAAAATTCAAACTGCTATTCTGGCGCCGGGAACGATCTCCAACTATCTCAAGCACACCGAATCGTGATTTGATGCACTCCTTGCAAGGTTAGATGCGCCACTTTTGCAATGTTGACCTTGCGTGACGTCATTTATGACGTCATCAAGGTCAAATTAGTTTTTCGTCAATAACTCTTGATCAAATTGAGCTAGCGAGTCGGGAAAGGCACCAATGGACTCAGGAAGGCCTGCCGAATCGAATGATATGCGACATGACCTCTTTCGACCAACTTCGTGACCTGGGGGTGCTGACCTGACCTTGACCTGAGGTCAACACCCCAAGTTGACCTGACCCGGACAAAAAGTATATCATTCGACGCGCCTGAGCGAGGCGAACACGATGCTGCCAAAATCGGCGCTCTGCGGCCGTTTTTTGCGAAGTTATTCACCAAAAACTGAACCGTACCCTGAGGCACTTGACCTGACCTCAGAGGTCACCGGATGACCTAGGACCTTAAAATCGGGTACCAATCTCTGCGTCTCGTAACGGCGCACACGCTCGTTTTTTCCGCGACGCGCTAGCTCCACCAGGGGCGAAACGGCGAGGGGGGGGGGTCGTACCCGCCCCCCCCCTCGGCCGGCGCGTATGTAGAAAACCAATAGGTCCGGCGAGGGTTAAATTTGTGATTCGCGTGATATCTCATGTGATGCATAGGAGCCTTTTGCATTCAGAGAAAGACCTATTATAATGGACACGGTACTTAGTGCGGTACAGGAAATAGTGCTGGTACTCATACGCCAACACGTCAGATTTGGTAACCGCCCATTTCATGCCGCATTTTTGGTTCTTGGAAAGCGTTTGAAGTATAAGAAGGCGATAGCGTTCAGGCGTGAAGAATATGTCTGCAGGTGGATAATGTTGGTGAGTGTTATCGTCTCTAGCAATAAAGAGACGCTTAATTGTTATCAATATTAGTATTCATTGCGCTGCATTGTTGCAAACTGGATCTGAGAAATTGTAGCGAGGGGATTTAGAGAAAAGAAGAAAGAAGGAGTAAAAAAGCTTCATCTTCTTTGCGGTTCATCAAATACTGCGGTCCGGGTCCACTGTTATTCGGCTGTTGTAGCAGAGAGAAAGAACAATTTGCTTCTGTAATGACTCGATGGTTGAGCTGGTGATGGGGAACTTGAGAGTCGTTGAAGAGATCCTGAGATAGCTATAGGGAGGGATCCAGATAGTGATGAGATCCTGATAGATGAGATCCACCTGACAGAGATGTATGGATCCAGATAGAGATGTAGATCCACCTGAATGAGATGTAGAGATCCAGATCCGTCTTGCATACAAATACATCTGATGGAAGATGCTTTTTGATTTAGAGGCTTGATGATTCTGTTCATTGTATAGACCATGATGCACGAGATGCTTCTTCACTGCTCGGATGGGATAGAGGGATCCGATCAGCTGGGTTTGCGGCACAGTTGGGCAGGTGAAGGACAGGGCATTCGAAACCCGATGACCACTGCCAAACATATGGGTGGTAATTAAATTGATTAATTGAATGTGATCATTCGTCCAGTCACCCATTCCTATATATCACTGGCCTCCCCATTAAGAAAATTGCCCACTTAATTCGTATTAGCGTTGCGATAGTTTAGTTGCCCTCGAGGGTTGCTAGCTCGACTGCCGTAACCGAATTCTACGCAATTCCTATCGGCCTTATTCTAAGATTCATCCTTCACCATTCTCACACCCTTGTTCGCGTTACATTCACCTTTCATGTATTCACCCAAATTTAATTCGTAGCCCTCGAAATTCCCTCCGATAGTGTTAGGCGTCGGATCAACAACGATCTCCCCGGCGAGATAAATGTCTCTTTCCGAAATCCATATGCATGCTCCGCTAACCGGCGACAAAGATACTTATCGCAGGGCCGTCCAGAATAAATGCACAAATATCCACCCTACTAATTTATGGAATTCACTACAAGTCCGATAGACTTATGGTACACACATACACGATTTATATCCGACTTATCTCTCCACCGGGAGAGATTACCTATGCCCTCTTCCGGTCCGCGTGTAACACCTCCGTTCACGACCCAGTAGAGGTCTGCACCGGCCGGCTGCAGCCGCGGCTGGCTGCAGCCCCACGGCTGTGGGCCGGGGCGGCTGCAAGTATCTCCAAGAACACGGCTACGGCTGTGGCCACGGCTGTGAGATTTCAAGCTCAATCTTAAGTACTCAAATATCAAATTTTAAATCCTTAATCTTACATTCTGATAACCAGTCTAGCCTGTAAAAATCATGCAAAGGATGCCCAGCAACATTGAAAGTGGTGAAGCCTTTGAACACCTGAAATGGTTTTACCATTTGCTATAGGGGAGTTTGCACTCTGGTACAGAATACTAATTATAGGTACCAATTGTTCCTTCATCATCAAGAGCTTGACAGTTTCAGAAAATGCAACATGTTGCATTGTCACATCCCTCTCAAATCAATCTCACCTGGTCATTAGGAGAGCACCTTACAGCTATTGAAGACGAGCGTTCAATAATTCTTTCAGGTAATAGAAAAAGAAATCACGCCTAGGAAAAGGCAGGTAAAGGCTTAAGAAAATATTATCTAAAATAACTCTTAGATGTAGTTCTGGATTTTCGGCAAGTCCAATTATATAATATAAAACTGGCGCTTTATGTTCTAACTGGTGTGTGAGTGACCGCTAACAGAAAATGCTGATCAACAAAGCCAATGGCATTAGATTATAAGTGAGCATGAACCTTACTTACGGTTAATTCACATGATGGTGAAAACCCTGAACACGTAATTCACATGCCGGTGAAAACCCTGAACACAATATTTCTTACGCGAGCTGTTGACTTTACTAATAAAATGACGTCTTCTTCTAAAAATGAAAAAAATTTGATACCCAATCTTTGTTTGAGAGCAATTTTTTATTGTTTAGCATCATTATTTATTAATTATAATTTTTATGGCTGTTTGTAGTGAAACAAAACAATTTATCGTCACTTCTTTGCTATTGACGTCATTAAAAACTCAAGTAAAACTTTTGAATGAAAGAGGCAATTGTGGCTCGCACGTCCTTGGGGATTTGAGCGAAGATCATTATTTGGAAAAATCAAAATAGATGAATGTTTTTCTTTCTTGGATGCTCCAGGCCCATGTCACTCCACTTTTGATGACATCATAAGGGGGCCTCAGGACACTTACTGGCGCGGTGCGCCACAATCGCTCCCAAGTTACTTGCCAACAGCTGCCATTTTTGAAAATATTATTTTGAAATAAAGTTTCAAGTAATGAAAATATTGTAATAAAGTTGTAACTTAAATCTATACCATATCTAAAAACTTACTGAAAAATGATTTATCCATAGTAAAAATATAAGCTCGATGCGTTTTTTCGGTGCTTTCCTGCTGCTGCAGAGGGCTTATAAATCGTCTATATCTTCAAAACCGGCCATTTCTTAGCATATTGCTGCTTTTTTTTTGTCGCTGGAAAATTAGTTGGGCTTTCCATTGACATCAACGGCTGAGCGATATGTGTAGAGTGCCATCAATAATCTTCAAATGAAGTTAGTCATTTTTACGTTGCAAAGGAATGGAGTACCCCTTGCGAGCATCAGGGGTGACGTCACTCAGGATCTGTCTCTGATTGGTCGGCGGGGGAGTGACTGTACCTTCTATAGATGGCCTTGGGATGCTCACTAGTGTTTTGATATGCCTTGCATGTCAAATTAGTTTGAGACTTGCTCAGAAGGCTGCTTCAAGCCTGGCATATCATTCCCCAGAAAATATGCAAGGTAAGAAAGAAGCAAGAGTTTTGACCGACCCCCACCAAACACGATTTGGCAGCACTGTAATGACGCCTGCTGGGCGTGAAGTTTTCCCTTCACCATAGGGTTTACAAACAAACTGGTCAAAGTTTGAGCCAGGATATACTAGTCTAAAAATGCAAAAAACGAACAAATTTTGGCATCAATAGATTCAGCATTTCATCGTGTGCCTCAAACCGTCCATCATTTGGCCTCAAAGGAGGTAAAAATTGTTCAAAATCGAAGTTGAAAAGATGCTTTCTGAGCAAATAATCTGGTAGCAATCACGTGACCTGCTATAAGCAGCTTATCGATAATTTACAAACATAATTATTAATATGCTGCTTTAAACAACATTAATCATACATTTTGAGTTTTCAGTACTTTAAATAAGGTCAAAACATCGCAAAACACAAAAGTTAATACAATAGTCACGTGGGTGTCAGGAAATGTCACAGGTGCGTCAAATTTGTGACTGGGGCTTTACTTTCAAACATCGGATCTACCTGTTTCTTATAGGTATCTTGGTTTTGACTAGACAATCACTGTTTGAGAGTCCATCAAATTCAGTTTCATTTTCCATACCTAGCATTGATAATGAAAAGCATCAGGGTCTGTTGTTCTGTCCCACAACCATGCTTCTGGATTTGGCATTAGATGTCTACACTGCTAGTGCTTCTATTCTGGTTCGTTGTTTATGTTTTCTGTTGATGTAGGTACCTACCTACCCATCTTTCTTAACCCCTTGCAAGGGCTTGTGTAGGCATGCGTTGCGCATCAGGCTTCAGGCCTTCGGCCTAAAGCCAGATACACAACCACTTAACCTATGATGCTTCATGAGCTTGAGAATCTATAGCCCATTGCAATGTGCTTTTGGCTATATGTTTCAACTAAAAACAACTTATTATATACTATTTGGCTGCATTTCATTGAAAGTATCCACGGCCGGCTGACGGCTGGCTGCCCACAGTTTGCCATGGCTGTGGGCGGCTGTGGCTGTGGAGCCACGGCTGCGGGGCGGCTAGGCTGTGGAAAATTGCAGCCGTGCAGAACTCTACGACCCAGGGACCACCGTTCATATCCTGGAACTCTCCTCAGGAACTTTCCTTAAACCCTGGGATTTACTTTCAAGGCCTTACGTGTCCTGGAGTACATCGTTACCTCCCCTGAGGCTGTCCAGTACCGATTAAGGTACCCTTACAAAATAAGTATGAGGACTTATTCGGGACACCACAGCTTGCCTTATCCGCCCTTTGGGTGACTCACCCCTGACCTTCGGCTTCTTACCTTTGGCATATCTCCAACTTACTCTCCGACTGCACTGTACCAGTCTACTCCTTCCCTCTGCCATAGAAACCTCTCACTGCCTCGTTACCCAGTATTACCTAAGCGGGAAATCTAACAGTAGCCGGTACCACTGGCGGAAAACGTGCATATGCCCTGCGTACGTGACGGTGTGTCCCTCTTATTATTCCGGTCTGGACGTGTGTTTAGAGAAGTGCATCTGTGTCTCATACAGTCATGCTGGTAAACATTACGCCATAGGAGACGGGCAAACAAGCCGTCTGCGCCTCACAATGCCCTGTGCCAATATTGGTGGAGTAATTATTGGCGCTAACTCGTAAGAACGCGAATAACAGAAACGCATTATTTATCCAACCTAATCGTAATCTCAAGTCCTAATTGCTGCTGCACGCATGAACCTAATCACTACTCGTATACACTCCTAGCAGACTTTGAACCGCTCTTGATTTAATCAGATGATCTAGAACCAATTAGTACGCACCGATCTGTCGTCTGGTTGTGATCCACCGTATCATAGTGAATTACTGAATGCTCAACGGAAATGACTCCTTGAAACTCGTTCGATAGCTTCTGATGGGCTACTAGTTACCTATACAAATTATCTTTATAGAGTGCCAGAATATTGTCATAGGGGTCCCTAGCCTTTCATAGAAAATATAATTTAAATCATCCTATTAGCAGTAAACAATGCACATCAAACGAAGTGCAGTTCTAAATATCAAATAGCATGTCATATTTAAAATTATGCATTAACTGTTTACGTTCTTATCCCGTTGCAACTTTCCACAACTAACCATGCTCCTATACAATGACCTTCACCTACCGCACGCGCCCCAATTACGGCTAACCCACTGCCCAACTATGGCCGCTGCTCCACTCCCGACGCTGCTCTCATGTGCCATCTAGCGGCGCACGGTCCCGCGTCGCGAACGACGATTACCACGGCTGCCGGCCGGCGCCGCGTCGACAGTCGACAGTTGTCAAGGCCGCGCCGCGATGGGCGCGTCATCACTCGCGGTGCAGTACTGGTGTGTGCAGTCTCTTCGGGCCGGGTAGATTCAACGAATGTGTCAGTGAGTGTGAATCTGGTAAAATATCGCTGCAATATCTCCCTGTTCGACATCTCATCAGCTTCATTCCACGTAAGTTTTTTTCTAGCTCCGTATCCCCTTCGATCTTTCCCAAAAGATATGATTTTTCTAGTATTTATTCTACAAAAGCACAACGATCGGTACCTATATTAGTCGCATATTAGTTCTAACCACAAACAATTCTACATCTACCTATTACTCGACATTTCGCAACTACAATGACGCAAAGTACAAGGACCATCTAAAGTCGCAAAGTGTCAGACCGTCGACCTCAAACCACTACTCTCAACTCTGCACCTAAGTAACAGAAGAAATTCCGCCGTAAGCTCAAGCATTCATATCTGTTGAAAACCATAACTCATAGCCATATTCATAGATCGATTGCATGAATCAGTCGCCACCTTAAAACATTACATTCCCTGTCAACCGTATTTACCTGTTCACTAATTTATTTTGACTTCGCAATTAATTCCTACAGCAATATTACCAATGATTTCGCAAAGCAACTTTTAGTGAGTACAGCACGGATCTACACCCTTAATTTCACAAACGAATTCCAACCTCAAATATTAAGCGCACCTGACTACCGCCGATAATAAATCGAACGAACCAGCTTGGCCAAACACAAAGACATATTCGTTATTCAATGCTGACACGCATCATGTCATCAATCTCAACGTTCGTGACAATGAGCTGCTTATTCAAATTTTAGCATCTCGCTCCCGGCCTAATCGTGAATTCCGACGGACAATAACGGTTTGCTGGCGACTCTGACATGACCTTCCCAATTCAGATCCTAATATGCTACTAGGGTGTCTGGACCAATAAGTTCAAAGTAATTTAAGTTTTCCAATTCCAATTGAGAGTGCATTCTATGGCAACCGAAAATGTTTGGCAGTCGTCACGGCACGGCAGGCTGGGAAGAGGGGGGGGGGTCAAGGATTGGGATTGAGCAGACTTTTCAGCAGCACTCACATTCTGGAGTTCCTCTGCGCTCGAACTGAAGAGACTTCTCGCGGGTGACCCCGGACTGACGGCGGCTCCCAGATGGCGTCTCCGGCTCCGGCTGCAGACTGTGACTCTCGGCTGCTCGACTGTGTCCCTTCTGGTTGGGTGGTGCACCCTTTTATAGCTTGGGGGGAGGGGGTGACTGCCACGCCCTTGCTCCGTCATCTTCCTCTGCCTTCCTCTTGTGGGTGGGCCCGTAAGATGGCGCCCTCTGTCCTGTTTAGTCACCTTGCTCCTCTGTGTCTGCAATTTTTGGCCGTCGAATCGTCTTCGTGTTGAGTGCTTTATACTTTAGTAATCGCTGGCATAAAACAATCCCCGAAAGGTTTGTGATTTTCGAGTTTTAATTTTGATTCTTCAATTTCATTTTATTCAAACTTTTGTTTCCTTCCGTTTCGTCTGCCGCCAACGCCCCTTGTGACGTCACTCTTGCTCCGCCCACTGTCGTCATCTTGGTTGGGAAGGTCGGTAGAACAGCGCCTTCTGTCCGCGGTGGGGACGTCCTGAACTACGTTTGTTTCGGACAACAGCGCTTTCTGTCCGCGGTGGAGACGTCCTGAACTACGTCTGTTTCGGAGGCTGTTTGCTAAGTTTAGCAGATTCCGTTGCAGTGAGACGCACTGTTGTGCTACCATGGCTACGTGAGACCCAATGTGCTACGTGCCTTAAGCCTGCGCGTGGTCTCACAGTGTGCCGACGTTTGCTTGTAGCTTCAGCTGCTTTGTAATGACTACCAATGACTCATCCTGATGTGACTGTCTTCAGAGGTGCTTGTCTTAATTGGAGTTTAATGGCGGCCCATTCTGTGCGGACAGTGAGAAATGATTGGGGAGGGTGGACCTGGGGACGGGTGGGAGGAGGAAGGGAATAATGACAAGGGAGGGAAGCGTGCGGCAGCGCTCTGCTCAGCTGCGCGTCACCGGGCCGACCGTGCCGAAAAGATACTACGTTAGATGGTCAAGATGTAGCGTGCTACAAAATGCGCCGATTTGTGTCCATTTTTGCGTATGTGTTTAATCGCGAATATTCTGCAGGATTGCAGTGCAGCACTGAATAAGTTTGTCTGTTATAAGGCCAGAAACATTCGCTCAGTGTTCAGGCCATTTAACCCGCGCACCGACGGGGGTCTGCGCCAACTTCGCACCGACGGGGGGGGCGGATGACCGCCCCCCCCCTGAGATCTCGAGAACGAAGCAAGATAGCGACAAGCGGTAAACGGCATCGGATACGCACGGCCAAGATCTACAATTTTTACAAAGGTCATTTTCAGGTCAGGTCAAAGATGACGTCACAGGGGTCGAAAAAGTCAAATTGGCGGCGCTAGATATGGAGAGAGTTTTTCTCGAATAACTTTCGAATTAGTCAAGATAGGAACAAACTAAGGGCATCATCGTGATCCTCTCGTCAATCCGCATCGAATGATATATATATATATATATATATATATATATATATATATATATATATATATATATATATATATATATATATATATGTTGACCTCGAAAGGTCAAGGTCAAAGGTTGACCTCAGGTCACGTGACCTCGAGGTCATCATGTATATCATTCGATGCGTCTTGACGAGCTGAACACAATGAGACCATCCACGCGTCTGTATCTTGTTCCTGTACGGAGTTATTGGCCAAAAACCTTTGGTGACCTTTGATGACGTCACATGACCTTACAGCTGCCCAACAGCAAAACAGACCTCAAGGTAGTGAAGGTTGATCGTATATGAAGTCATATATGGTATATGGGGCCATTCCGACCCGTTTTAGTGGTAAAAACAGGGAGTTGATTTTTCCCCCATTGACTTATAATGGGGAGGTCGCGAAATTGACCTGACCTTAGGTCACCGATATCAAAATTCCGAGATATACAAATTGTAGCTACCAATGACCTAATAATATCCTGCGACTTTCAAAGGCCTCATCCCCCCCCCGTCGGTGCGAGGGTTAAGGCTATTTGATTGCAGTGGGAGAGCGACACTCGTACGACCTTGACCTTGGCCGCGCCATATTCGTCTTGAGTTCTGTGTTTGGCCCCCCATTGCCCTGTTTGTCTTTCGTTTCTGCTTTATTAATTTTGATGTATCCTTTCAGAAACCTTGCTTACTTGCTTACTTTGGCCTACTTGGATGCTTGTGAAGCTGGAGTCACAATACAGAGGCCAACTATCAAGTTGCACGAGTTTTGCACCACCAGACTGCAGAGTTTTGGAGACGCCTGGAGGCGACACCCCTAGACAAATAGGAGGCCCCATGGACAAATAGGAGGCCCTCTGTACAAATAAGAAGCCCCTTGGACAAATCGGAGGCCCCTGGACAAGTAGGAGGCCCTCTGTACAAATAGGAGGCCCCCTGGAAAAATAGGAGGCCCTCTGGAAAAATAGGAGGCCCCCTGGAGAAATAGGAGGCCCTAGACCTAGACAAACATGAGGCCACTTTCACAAAAGGAGGCCCCCTGGACAATTAGGAGCCCTAGGACAAATAGGAGGCCCCCTGGACAATTAGGAGGCCCTGGACAAATAAGAGGCCCCTGGATAAATAGGAGGCCCCCTGAACGAGAAGGAGGCCCCCTGGATAAAGAGGAGGCCCCCTAAAATAGGAATAAGAGCCCTCTGGATAAATAGGAGGCCGCTTGGAAAATAAGAGGCTACATTAACTAATAAGAGGCCCCCTGGACAAATAGGAGGCCCCCTGAACAAGTAGGAGGCCCGCTGGATATATAGGAGGCCTCTTGGGCAAAAGGAGGCCCCTAGAAAAATAGCAGGTTCCTTGGAAAAATAGGAGGCCCCCTGGACAAATAGGAGGCCCCCTGTACAAATAGGGGCATCTTGAACAAATAGGAGGCCCCATGGACAAGTATATAGGAGCAAGAGGCCCTCTGTACGAATAGGAGGCCCCTGGACAAATAAAAGGCTCCCTTAATAAAAAGGAGGCCCTTAAAAAAGGAGGCCCCTGGACAAGTAGGAGACCCCAGCACAAAAATGAGACCCCTGGTCGAATAGAAGACCCCTGGATAAATCGGAGGCCCCTGGACAAATAGGAGGCCCCTGAACACGTAGGAGGCCCCCTGGATAAAGAGGAAGCCCCCTGGAAAATAGAAGCCCCCTGGATAAATAGGGTACTCCTGGACAAACAGGAGGCCTCCTGGACAAATAGGAGGCCCCCTAGACGAAAAGGATGCCCCTTGGACAAATATGAGGCGCCATTAACCAATAGGAGGACCCCTAGACAAATAGGAGGCCCTCTGTAACAATAGGGACTGGCAGCTCTCTGCTCTGTACGTGCAAATAGAAGACCGGCGCTCGACCTGTAGAAGCTTAGCTGTATGTACAAAAAGGAGGCTCTCTGTGCAAGCAGTCGAAGTAGGAGGCTCTCTGTACTGTGCCTAGAAATAAGAGGCCCCCTGGGCAACTTAGATGCTACACAAATCGGAGGTCACGTATAAAAAAGCGGGACTCTATTGGAATATCTGTTTGAATAAATTATTTACCTGATACTCAAATTATTTAATCCTCGCCCGCACAAAGGGGGGGGGGGCAGTGATTGCCACCCCCACCCCCCAGGTAGTTTTTCTGCTCTGCACTCAACATTTTGATTGCTAGAAGCCGGATGTTTTGTATAGCTGCTTCTCTAATTCCTTTCTTAGTGTCCACTGAAAATTTCAAGTTTCTGTGGTTTTTGGTTTCGGAGATGTGACCTTATTCTTCAGGTGATGTCATAACCCAAATGACAAATACCCAATATCTTGCGTTGGCTATGGGTCTTGTGAGCTTTTGACACCTTGATTTCGGCCTTTTTTGACAGTCTTACTTCCCACCTATCATGGAACATGTTGTTCGATGATGTAGAGATGCCAGGGTCAGGGTCAAGGTCAACCTAGGTCATCTATTTATTGGATTCGTCTCTTCCCAAAGAATCTGTTGCTCTTGACCGCGAAGCTTAACCCTATTCCTGGCGGGGGGGGGCCTCATGAGCCCCCCCCCTGAGGTTTTTTGGTTATATCTCCCAAACGCGTTGAGCTAGGAAGCTCAAATTTTCTGACTTTTCCTAAAAGGCTTCTACGCAACATGTCTGAAAATTTTGAGTTGATCTGACCTCAGGTCAGGTCACCAGAGGCGGTTTGGTGACGCTACCTCAGAAAAGTTTGCAATCACGCCAGAGCTAGAGTTTTTGACCGATCAATTTCTTCTCTTCAGGGTTTAGTTAGGGTACCAGTATGTGCAATTTGTATATCTCGGAATTTTGATATCGGTGACCTAAGGTCAGGTCAATTTCGCGACCTCCCCATTATAAGTCAATGGGGGAAAAATCAACTCCCTGTTTTTACCACTAAAACGCGTCGGAATGGCCCCATATACCATACATGACTTCATATACGATCAACCTTCGCTACCTTGAGGTCTGTTTTGCTGTTGGGCAGCTGTGAGGTCATGTGACGTCATCAAAGGTCACCAAAGGTTTTTGGCCAATAACTCCGTACAGGAACAAGATACAGACGCGTGGATGGTCTCATTGTGTTCAGCTCGTCAAGACGCATCGAATGATATACATGATGACCTCGAGGTCACGTGACCTGAGGTCAACCTTTGACCTTGACCTTTCGAGGTCAACATATATATCATTCGATGCGGATTGACGAGAGGATCACGATGATGCCCTTAGTTTGTACCTATCTTGACTAATTCGAAAGTTATTCGAGAAAAACTCTCTCCATATCTAGTGCCGCCATTTTGACTTTTTCGACCCCTGTGACGTCATCTTTGACCTGACCTGAAAATGACCTTAGTAAAAATTGTAGATCTTGGCCGTGCGTATCCGATGCCGTTTACCGCTTGTCGCTATCTTGCTTCGTTCTCGAGATCTCAGGGGGGGGCCGAATCGGCCCCCCCCGCCAGTTTCTTGTCCCGGCGGAGCCCGCCAGGAATAGGGTTAAGTAAGAAAAATTGTGGTGATGTCGAATAAAATACCTACACAAGCAGCGGGCTAACCCATCATATACCGACGACGCTGCCGTAGCCCGTATTAGTGCCAAGCCAGCTAGAACAGCTCTTTGTCACACTATCCGACTAATTTGCTGGCTGTGGTCATTTCACGTCAAGTTAGGTCAAGGTCAATGATATGTGTTTGTATGTCTGTGCATGTCTGTGTATGTACTGATGTGTGCACAGGTTGGTTTGTGTGTCCCTGCCTATTACATGAGATCATGAACTGAGAAGCTTTTACTAAACATGCCATGCGGTCAAAGAACTTCACGAAAAGTAAATTCAGCTTGCCTAAAACGCAACAATTTTAGATGACCTAGGTTGACCTTGACCCTGACCCTGACATCTGTACCTACATCGCAGAACAACATGTTCAATGATAGGTGGGAGGTAAGACTGGCAAAAAAAAACGAAATCGGAGTGTCAAAAGCTCACAAGGCCCATAGCCAACGCAAGACATTGGGTATTCGTCATTTAGGGCATGACATGACCTGAAGAACAAGGTCATATCTCCAAACCCAAAAGCCGAAGAAACTTAAAATTTCCAATGGACGCTGAGAAAAGATAGAAAAACAGCTATACAAAAAAATCAGGTTTCTAGCTTTTAAAATTTTCAGTGTAGAGCAGAAAAAACTAACATGGGGGGTGGCAACCCTCACCCCAGGTGCGGGCGAGGGCTATTAACCCTCACACTTTCTGGGGTCGGTTAGATTCCTTGCGCAATGCTGTGCAGTTAAATTCTTTTTTTATAATAGAGGCATTTTGTTTTATTGTCGAAAGTGAAAAAGCCAGAAATTTTCATCGATTTCGGACGCCGCGGGGGAAATTTACATACAATGTCACCCTGCTGGCCTGGAACCACCAGTAGGGTCAGGTGACCTATCATTTCTTTAACCCGCGCACCGACGGGGGGGGCGGATATCCGCCCCCCCCTGAGGTTTTTCGCGAATAGCGGAAAAACCGCGGCGCGTAGCGCCGCGAAATTTAGTATGACTATATCCTCATCAATTTTACACATGGTGTGCAAGTTTGAACCTCCTACCTTCTAAGGTCAGGTCACCAGGTCACTTTGAATGACCCAACCTCAAGTCACTTTTTTGCAACTTTGTCACCGTGCCAGAGCTACAGTAGATGTCGGAGGCCTTTGAAAGTCGCAGGATATTATTAGGTCATTAGTGGCTACAATTTGTATATCTCGGAATTTCGATATCGGTGACCTAAGGTCAGGTCAATTTCGCGACCTCCCCATTATAAGTCAATGGGGGAAAAATCAACTCCCTGTTTTTACCACTAAAACGGGTCGGAATGGCCCCATATACCAAACATGACTTCATATACGATCAACCTTCACTACCTTGAGGTCTGTTTTGCTGTTGGGCAGCTTTGAGGTCATGTGACGTCATCAAAGGTCACCAAAGGTTTTTGGCCAATAACTCCGTACAGGAACAAGATACAGACGCGTGGATGGGCTCATTGTGTTCAGCTCGTCAAGACGCATCGAATGATTTACATGATGACCTCGAGGTCACGTGACCTGAGGTCAACCTTTGACCTTGACCTTTCGAGGTCAACATATATATCATTCGATGCGGATTGACAAGAGGATCACGATGATGCCCTTAGTTTGTTCCTATCTTGACTAATTCGAAAGTTATTCGAGAAAAACTCCATATCTGGCGCCGCCATTTTGACTTTCGACCCCTGTGACGTCATCTTTGACCTGACCTGTAAATGACCTTTGTAAAAATTGTAGATCTTGGCCGTGCGTATCCGATGCCGTTTATCGCTTGTCGCTATCTTGCTTCGTTCTCGAGATCTCAGGGGGGGGCGGTCATCCGCCCCCCCCCCCGTCGGTGCGAAGTTGGCGCAGACCCCCGTCGGTGCGCGGGTTAATAATATTGAAAAATTAAATCATGGCATCCGAGCTGTGACGAAAAATAAGTGGCCTAAATCCGATGAGAAAACTGGATTTGAGGGTACCCTGGGTTTGGCTTCTGAGCCTCTGGTCCCCCAGTGAAAATTTCTTAGAGGAGGCCCTGGCGTGGTTCGTAAATTACCGCTTCCACGATTGGAGGCCCCTAATTGCTTGGAGGCCCCCCACTAAATGGAGGCCCCCTTGGACGTTTGGGACCCCAATGGTAATGTCAAAGTTTCACCTATGATGAAATGAGAAGCCTGTATCAAAAATACA